CCCCCCCCCCCCCCCCCCCCCCCACGGTACCGGGTCCAGTGCCAGTATTTCGGTATCGGTTTCGGTACCCTTTGTAATTTTTTTTGCTTTTCCGAGTATGATGGGAAATAATACGTGGCTCGGCCCACATTTCCCAATTATTTACGAAGAACAGTCAAACTGGACCTGTTTAATAAAATGGGGGAATAAGAGAATATTCCCCGAATATGCTTCCTCTCCTCCCCTATAAAAAGAGGGTTTGCCCTAGTAGTTAAGGAGGCCAATTTCACTCCTCTCCTGCCAGTTTCTCTTTCTAGATATTTTTAGAGTATATTTTTCTTCTTCTTCAAGAGCTTCTAGCTCCACCATTAATGGCTTCTAAGCCTAAATCATATACCGTGTACACACCCCCGATATTAATAAAAAATCCCCCGTTGGAAAGGTACCGCCAAAAAAGGTCCGTGGTTTTCTCCCGATTTGGGTTTCCACGTCAAAATCCCCGTATTTATATTTTGGTGTATTTTTTAGACTAGTTTATCGTTTTTGCCGGGCTAAAACGATATACCAGTCGATAATTTACACAATCATTTTGGCGCCATCCGTGGGACCGGAGCAAATTCCCATGATTTTAATGTTTATTCTCCTGCTCATAGAAAAAACCCCAAAGAAAAGGGGTTGAAATAAAAAAAAGTGGGTGATTCAAGAGTGAGAGAGGGGAGGGTTTTGATTTTTTGATTTGACAAAAAAGGAGAAAGAAAGGAGAACCCCAAATTGGAGCGGCCCCTAGATCGAGCTCAGAGCCGCCGCTGCCACCTACCGGAGTCCGCCTACTCAACTTTCCCTAAGCTACCGGAGTCCGCCATCGCCGCTGCTCAAACCAGCCGCCGCCGCCGCTGCTCAAACCAGCCGCCGCCGAATTCAATCGATGGGATTGCCGCCGCCGCCGAACTCAATCATCGTTGGTCGTTGGAGCCATTCACCGCCATCCACGTCTAGCGCCGGAGGGCCGCGTGATGCTGACTAGTTGTTGTATCCGTAGCCGCTCGAGTCTATTGATAACATCTGGAGGTCCGCCATTACCGACAATGGAGTTGGATTCGTCGCCGGCATTGGTTGAAACTCAAGCCATAGTCAACCGCCCTTCTATTTGTCGTGGGAAGACGATTCTCGTTCTCTTCTTCCGGCATCAGTAGCCGCCCAAGTTCACCACCTAGCTCGCACGGAATCGGAAAACAAGTGCCACCTCGCACGTCGGATTCATCACCGGAGCAGATTCACCGGCGGAGAACACACCCAGCAAACTAAAATTGCATCTGCAGAGCACCACGGGCGATTTCATAGCTTCCATGCTTCCAGCGAAGTCCAGTTACTCCAGCGACTTCCCTCGGGTAGTGACTCTGTGTGTCACCGCCGCAATTGCGGTCTAGACATATGCTGTCATCGGCCATCGCTGTAGAAGAGAACAGAAGAGACTTCCGGTCGCTGCCATGGAAGCAAATCACTAGCGAAGCCAATGTTCTTCGTTGCTATAGCCGGAATCAACCATCGAGGCACCTGTTACTCCAATTTACCAGGTCACTATTAAGATCCTCCACCGCCATCCATAGTATTGAAACTCGGTTACAGCTACGCCTTCGGGAAAAAGCCACTGATCGTTGCTTGGAAGGGCCACAATTTGCCGATGCGATTGGATCAACTGCGAGGCCGGATGACTCAGTTCGCCCCTCAAATCTGCTACCGTAACCGTTGGAGACCGAGGTTGTCGTGAACACCCTCATCCCTTTTAAACCAGGCCACCAGAGGGGCGGATGAATGCAGCTGGCTTCACCTCGGCACCCCACCTCCTGGTTGCACGGATGGTCACTCCTTCCCCGGTCAAGTGTTATGCCCCACCCAAAATAGTGTTTGGGATATGCAAAAAAGAGATGGGCCAAAGTGAAAGAGGACAACAACTACAAAAAACAGAAGATAAAAAGAGAAAGTAGATGGGACGGTCAGAGGAGGAAGGAAGAAGGATCTACTAGTCCTATATTACATCTTGGAATGCACCCCTTGTATGAATCTTTGAAGAATCAAACAAAGAGAAAAAGTGGCCAGCATGTGAAGAGATAAAGAAAGGGGCCAGCATTAATTGATGAAAAAAGGGAAGCACGTGATTTTGGAAGAGTATGGAAAGGAAGGAATATGGGATTCACAGGAGGACGTCATGCCATTATTCATGGCCCCACAATCATGGATGAAAAACATCATGGGCCGATTCTCATGTCTCCCCATCCCGCTTTGATCCACTACAAATTTTAGAAGGAAGACTGGGACACAGGCCCGGACCTGGCACGCTGGTTACTACACCGGTCTTGCTCAGTATAAAATAAAAAATAAAAAACCCGGAAGAGGGTATGCCTGCAAGAGGGCTGGACCTGGAAGAAGGTTCGAACCGTACTTACACGGGCCCATGAGGTTTGACCAGTATCGGGGAATCAGCCGGTGCTGTCAAATTGATTGGGGACTAAAAGATGCCCATTAAAAGAAATAGAAAGGGATCGTCCACCGTGGCGCATCCTATTTCCCCCTTCTCAGGGAAGACTTGAACGGGGGGTGAGCTAAGTGTTGGAACACACTTTGCACGTTAAACTAAAGTCGTGTTCATTTCTGACAGGTTTTGATAATTGCCAAACCGCCGTGGATATGAAGAGTTTCGTTGAATAACTCAAGGCATGAAGAATGGCTTGGAACAAGACCTAAAAGACTCAAGGACAAGATCAAGAATTGAAGACTTAGTCGAGTCGGTCTTTTGTGATCAAAACCGACAATTTATTCAAGTCTCGGTTCTCAAAAAGTCAAAACAATTTTTACAAACCATAAAAACATTTTTTGTGCATCAAAACAGACATTTTTTGATGACTTCTTTTATTTTCAAAATCCCTGGTCCTTGCTCAGAACCAAAACCACCTAAGTCGGCATTCGGCTTTCGTCGTTCG